CTTTAAAATACTTACAGTATATCTGCATAAAAATATAAAATAATTATACACTGCTAAAATGTCTTAAATATGTCTTATATTTATATTTATATTTACCAAGATTTAGCTTAGAAAATTTCTCATATAAATGATTTATACATCATATGATATTTGTCTAGACTTACTACTACAATTACAATTACTACTCATATTCAAAATTTCAACGCATAAAATGCAGCAAAAATTGCAATTGGTTCTCACACAAAACGTAAGGAGAAAAGAGAAAAACAAAAGTGTAATGTATGCAGATTTTACCTGGTTACTTCGTTGGTAACAGGTTTTGGCTGCTCGGCATGCATATATTGATATGCAAATCATAAAAAATATGAAGACAGCTCGAAAATATATGATTGCAGCAAAGTTTTCTGCACGAATGCGAGCAATTTCATTTCATTCCGGGAGAGAAAGAGCGGCAAACTAAAAGTAGAGATTGCTTATACGACACATGTACATAGAACTGGCTGAAAGTCCTATAAAATATTGAGCAGCTAAAGCGGCACGTGAGCTGTCTGCCTGGCATGCATAGCGAATTAGCTGTCCGGGTCTTTCGATCGATGTGAGCAGTGCTGCTGCACAGGTGAGCGGGAAGCGGAACGGGAAGTGCAATTGGTGCACGGCCGAGCGGGCTTTGGGCAGAGGCAAACCTGACATAATGAGCACAGACAGACGGTGTGAGTGAATTGTTTCAGCCACAAGCCAATTTCGCCACTCAATTGAGCGCAGCGAGCCAGAAAGTCAACAGAGAAGCCAACAATGTGACTGCAGACTCGACCGGATGGCGGCATCAAGGTGTTCGGCCTGTAATAGTCGCCGTGTGATAACCCATTGGCAAATTGGAGTGCATTAGCGACAGCTTCTGGCACTGCTGCCATCCTGGCATCCTTTCGAGGCATCTGTGCGTGGCAGCAACACGTGCCGCACTGCCGATGACAACTCTTTCTCGCTGCTCGCTGCTCGCTGCTCGCGCTGACGATGGCATTGTCAACAGCTGCACTTCAGCTGGTTCACGTGCCCGTGGCAAGCAGCCAATGCATACAAAGCGCCAAGTTGCGCATACGCCATGCATGCCAAGCCGAGCTAAGTGCCAACCCATCAACTCATTAATCAATGAGCGACAGCAACGGCGACAGCTGGCAACGGCAAGCGGCAAAGTCACAGCTCATTCAGTCTAAGCCTTGACTGACAGTGCCAAAGGATCTCTGCCAACAGGGACGACGTGACCTGCTGCCACACCTCACCCACACACACACCCCATTATTCTCATTCCCACTGACATTTGCAATGCGCACTTTCGTTTGTTTTGGTCCCACACACGCACCCTGCATGAGTTCATTTGACAGCCTAATGCGTGGACAGCAAACGATTTGCAAAATTGATTGTGTTCACACATTCATTTGCCGACTGCCACTAATCTAAGGCGATTCGGGTCAAGCTAAATGCTTACGCAATCAACAATTTAACAGCTGCACTAGGTGGCGATCTGTGCCAGATACCCTGTAAAATAGAGTGGTAGCAATTTAAAATATTTTTAAATAAAAGGCTGAATAATAATTTATATCGGACATCATTTTCATTATAGAGAGTATAAAATATAATATTAAAAGTTAAGAAATTATTATTTGTAACAGCATTTCTGACTATTTAAAGCTAACTGCATTAAAAAGTCTGCAAAATATTAAACTGAATATAGAACAACAAATGTTCGACATAATTAGCAGATAAATAAAATAAAAAACATAAGCTAATTAGAATGCTATCAAATTCACAAAAAAATAATAATTATACAAATTCTAAATTCAAATCACAATCCCTCCCCTTAAGCCCTCTATGCACAGTGGACAGGGTATGTGTTTAAATTAAATACGTTGTAAACAAAATTACCATAAACTGAAAACACGTTTATATCTATTTATTTTTATTTATTTATTCTCTCTGCTGTAGCTGCCAAATGCCTAATATTATTGTTGGCGCTTAGTTACGCACAATTTGCCAATGAAATAAGTGCATTCAATAAATTTTGCAGAAATAATATTGGAAATAATGAAATTGGAGTTTAAATCGTGTTTTAAGCGAAACAAATTACAAAATGTTTGCCCAATTCACTGTGAACAACAATAAACGATGACAAAGCAGAATTGCAAGAAAGTGTAATAAATTATATGTTGCCGAAAAAGTTTCTATACTACTTTTTATACACTTTCACAACGAACAAAAAACTTCGCTAGAAAAAGTGTAAGAAAAGTAAGCAGACATTGAAAAGCAAAGAAAAAATTGATTTGCATAGAGAANATATCATTATAATATTAAATCGTAAGCGTATTAAATCTACAGAAAAACCAAATCCTCTACTTTTGCTTTCCTTACTAAGCCATTTTGTTCCAGTGGACTGCGTTTCATGGCCAGGTGGAAATGAATTTCGCTGTGTTTTGATTTTGCATTTCATTTTCAATGGCTCGCGTTTTTCTCTAGATAAATTGCTTGAGGCAACCCAATAAAAAGCATAAATAAAGTGCTTGATAAGTTTACAAAACGCTTTGTCAGCTTGAACTTGGCAAATTTGTTTCTTTTCCCCATTTTTTCACCCATTTTTTGTTGTAGCTGGACACCTTTTCCGCTCAACTAATTAGCAATTTGTGCAGTCTGGCTGCCAAGCCATTTGTTGGCCAAAGCACCGTCCGTGGATCGTAAAAATGAACACCTTTGCCGTTGGCCATTCTCGCCCGGGCTGCCCGGAAAAGTATGCTACGGCAAATTGGTATGCAGAAAGACCAAGTGACTCTCAGCTAAGCATAATGAATTGTGACCTAAGCATGATTTATATAGACGCAGCCCATAAATCTCGACTTTATAGCGAAATACATAAGAATAAGTGTCAAAAGCAACGACTTCATACTACCCTAACCAGGTCAAGATGAAATCTAAATTGTGAGCTAAATACGTGCTAATTGGACTGGTTAAAAGAAATGCAAATTTAAATTTTCGTTAGTTATTTTATTTATCCCATTTATTTTCATATATTTGTTGACATACTCTTCTAGCTAAAACACCTGTGCACAAGCCTAATTACCTACACACTTTACGCGGAGAGTCTTGCCGAAGTCTCTTGCTGACCACAAACTGGATGTTGACCTCTCGGCCACAATATAGGCTCATTAGTCAATGTTTGGCAATTTGTTGGGAATCAATAATAAATGTAAATAGCATAATGGCCTGCTCTCTGATAGTGATGGTGATGATGGCATTGCTGCTGATGATGATGATGTCATCAACGCCTGTGAAGTAATCGAAAATTGGAATTGTTGCAAGTAAATTATGGCCAACTGTAGCTGGACACGCGCTAGTCAAATATAATTTAACGCCACATCATGGCAGCTGTTCGCCGGACAAGACAACGCCGCCAATTGGCCAAAAATCAATGGAAGTGCGCGCCGCCCACAATAGCTGTGCCTGCTCTGCCACGTAGCATCATGAGTGGATGGAATTTTGTTTCGTTTTCTGTTTTTCTTTTCTTTTTTTTTTTTTTTTTTTTTTGCTGCCTATTGACAGATGGCCATCTGCCATGTTGCAATTATTTCGCTGTCTGCAAATGGAACTAAAGCACGAAC